TGGGGGTCCAGGCGGGGCTGGCGGGGCCGGGCAGGTGCCTGTCTAGCGGCCCTCCCGGGCCGGCCGGATCTTCATCTCGGAGAACTTGAGCGAGTACTGCCAGCCGGTCCACGAGGCCCACTCGACGCCGTCGGCGTAGGACGCGTGCGCGCCGCGCAGGTACTGCCCGTTCAGGTTGGACGTGTGGCAGTTGCGGTACCACCAGGCGCCGCGGTAGAACGCGGCGCAGTTGTTTTCCGAGTGGTCGCTGTCCCGGTCCTTGGTGGTGAACCTCATGCCGCTGTGCTTCAGCAGGGAGTCGCCTGGGGGGCAGGCGGGGCGGGTGTGGGCACAGGTGTGGGCACGGGTGTGCTGGGCACCATGGACAGGAAGGGGTGGGCGCACCTGGGGTCGTGGACAGGAAGGGGTGGGTGCACCTAGAATCCTGGATAGGAAGGGGGGGCACGGACAGGAAGGGGTGGGCACACAGAGGGGTGGGCACACAGAGGGGTGGGCACACAGAGGGGGGGTCCTGGACAGGAAGGGGTAGGCGCACCTGAGGTCATGGACAGGAGGTGGGTGCACCTGAGGTCGTGGACAGGAAGGGGTGGGTGCACCTGGAGTCCTGGGCAGGAAGGGGTGGGCACACCTGGGGTCATAGACAGGAAAGGGGGGGTACCTGGAGTCCTGGACAGGCAGGTGTGGTCACACTTGGGGTGGTAGACAGGACAGGAAGTGGGGTGGGTGCGGGGCTACATGTGCGCCCAGGCCCCCCCCCCGCTGAAAACAGTCCCCCCCACTAGGGCCGTGGCTCATCTGCAGGGAGGCGCCTCTCTAGCTCCTCTCCCCTCCCCTCCCCTCCCCTCCCCTCCCCTCCTCCCGCCGTGGCTGGAGGCCGATGGGCCTGCCGCACCCATCCTACCTGCCGTGCCGGAGTAATCGGCCACGGTGAGCGGGTACCCGTCCTCCTCGGGGTCCACGGAGAACAAGCCCACGCCAAAACTCCCGTAGTGGGCGTAGGCTGTGCCGTTGTCGAAGTCTTCCAGCGCCACGTGCAGCTCGTAGGTGGCCTGCGTGCTCAGCGCGTGGATCCTCTTGAGCCCTGGGGCATGGGGGAGGGTGGTGCGAGGCAGGCAAGAAAACAAGAGCAACAAGAACTGAGCTCCTGTGCCGCGCGGGCCGCGCGTGGCCGCTGCTGCCTTCTTCCTGCAGGCGGGGGCTGGAGGCAGAGCGGAGTTTTTCATGTCTGGTTTTCCGTGCTCAGGGGAGGCTGGTGGCTCACACCTGTAATCCTAGCTACTCTCATCTCCACTAACCAGAAAAACGCAGCGAGTGGAGCTGTGGCTCAAGTGGTAGAGCGCTGGCCTTGAAGGAAGGACTAAGGAACGATGCCCAGGCCCTGAGTTTAAGCAAGCCCAACTACGGGCACACACATGCACCTGTGTGTGCGCGCGTGCGCACACACACACACATCGGTTTGTGCTTTCCAAAATGCAGGGGGTTCTGAGCTGACGGCAGGCTGGGGATCACAGGGGGTTCTGAGCCGACGGCAGGCTGGGGATCACAGGAGTCAGGAGGGCTCCGGGGGTGAAAGGACCCCTACCCTTCCTAGCTTCCTCACACCCAGGCAGGGTCTGTTGAACTCTGAGCTTCTGTACCGGCCGTTCCCTCTGCCTGGGACACGTGTCCCTGCTCCTCACCTGGTTACCTTCTGCTCATTTCCTGGTCTCACTGCCTTGGCTGCCTGGCTCCTCTCCAACCCAGCACCCCTCCATCCGTGTTCACCATGATAATCTCCCTGTGGGGTCGCCACTCCAGACACTGAGTCCCTGTGACCCCCGCAGCTGGGGAAGGCGTAGCAGATGCTCAATAAAAGCACCCTGGAGGATGGAAGGTGAGAGGTGGCACTCCAGTCCCCTGCTGTCCCCAGGGCTTGCTGTGCCAGGCACACACTGTCTCCCTCCTCCTCCCATCCGTCTCCCCAGCCCTCCCTCCTCCTCCCTTCCCTCTCCCCAGCTCTTCCTGCTCATCCTGGGAATCGCGTGCTTAACTCTAGTTGACCAGGGGCTTAATTAAACACTTCACAAGTCAGCAGCAGCATTTTGTCTGCCTCTCCCCTGGCCTGCCCTCCCCTCCCAGGCCCCCGGCCTGGCAGAGCCCCGGTGCCCACTAGTGGGGCCCAGGGACTGGAGCTGGAGAAGCCGCGTCCTCCTGCGTCTCCCGGCCTCCTCTCCCAAGACAGGAGAGGCCTGGGATCCGAGGAGGGGAGGCCCAGGGCTCCCCCTCTCCTGCCCTGCCCCGGACTGGAGCCCCAGGGTCAGCGGCCTTCCCTCCCCGGGCACCGCGGGCGGTTCATCTGCCGGGCGGGCTT